TATAATGATTAAAAGATAAATATAAGACTATGGGAGATAAATAAATATTAAAATAATATAATCAGTTAATTGTAAAAAGTACAATAGTATAATTTATAAATATGAATCAGAGTGAGTAGATGATTTAGTTTGAAAAGTAGAAACCTTAATACTAATAGTTAGTTTTACCAATATACTAATAGTAATTGTTTGTCTATCATAAACCAAGATTAGGAAAGAGTCACTTAAATTTTAAGCTAATGATTATATTGATTCTGGTTAAGTTGATGTATCAAACTATCATAAAAATTTAAGACGATCATTAATTATTTAATAAAGATAAAAAGGAGTACATTCTTAAATTCAATCGATAGTTTCTTAGAGTTGCATCCACCTATGCTTCCGTTTATCAACAGAGAGCATACTTGAAACATAGATGGTTTTGCTTAAAGAGAGAGTAAAACAAGAAAATTTTTAAAGTGATGATTAATTCGATAGAATTTAAGTTTAATGGCAATTATCAAATTATGCTCTTCACACAAACTTTATTTTAGTAGATATAAGCTAAGTAATATATTATATATAAAACAGATTTTTAAGATTAAATTATAAGCGGAAAAAATTTAGTTGGTTTTTGTTAGAAATTTATTAAATTTATTTAAAATAACCAAATCAATAAGATATATATAATTTCAAATTGAACAATAAGGTATAAATTTCTTCAAAATGATTATGTTCTAGTGTAGTTGTTTAGGATGATAATAATAATGAAATCAGTTAGAGATTGAACATTTGTCTAAAGATCCTCAGCTGTTGAAAGCTTTCAATTATCATCTATTTTACTGATGAAATAGTCGAAAATCAATAAACCATCTGGTATTATATATCTATTACAAACTATAAGTTAATATGGCTGAGAGTATGTCATAACAATCAAAATTGATAGTGTTATTTATATTATTTGATCTATTTTACTAAAATTAGATTGATTACTTAGTTGGAAGATTGATTCTAATCTGTTTTATTTTATTTATTTATTTTTCAATTCAATCTAATTTTATTCCATAATGATTTAATATCTAAAATTACTGCTTTATCAAACCAAATTATTACAATGAATACGCATGCTTTGTCTTATTTATAATTTAATTAATAATAATTTTATAAAGGTTTTAGAATAAATTCTATTTTTTTAGCTGCTTCGGCAAGTCATTAAGTTGACTATCCTTTTTTTTCCTTTCCAATTAACAGCAATCAATATTTTAATTTTAATTTTTTAAATTATAAAATTACATTATTCTTTACTCATCAATATGATGCAGCTTCTTAATCAATTAATTAATCATATTAAAATAAAGTTGACTTTTGCATTAGATATTTAAATCTAATCTAAATCTAATCATTTCAGATCAATATAAGAGTAATAAGATCAAAAAACTTTTATTATCAATTAATTCGCATTCTTCTTTTAGAAATTTTAATTATAATGACATCGTTATGGTTATTATATATGATATAGCAAATATAGAATTAACAAATCACCAATATCAGAAACATAATCTAAAGCCATTTCAATTTTCTTTTATATTTATTGAAGAGTAAATGAAGGTAATCTATTGGTAAGTAGACAAAAGGAGTAAATCATATCACAAAATTAAGATTCTATTCAGAATTTATTGAATAACTTTTGATTTGAATTATATTCAATTTTTAGCTTAAATATTTTAAATATGAGAAAATGAGAATTTTAGATCTATTAATGATAAAATTTCATATACTATTAAAAAGTTCACTTCATATATTTCTTGAAAAAGATCTAGGACAAAAGAGTAATCAAAAATAGTGGTCATCACATAAGCTCAGAAAAACAAAGTTTATAGAAAAAAATAGATCTTTTTTAACAAGTTTAAGAGTTTTTAAATGAATTTTAAGAAATGCATCCAAATGGATAATTAAGGGCTGTGTTAAGCTCATAAGGAAAACAATTTTAATCTAATATGATATTGAATCAATAAGATGTTAGAAAAAGAACCTAACAGAATTATAAAGCAATTGATCATTTCATAGTTTTTATTAGTAAAAAAAGCAAATAAAATGAAAGCTCATTTCTTTTTTTACAACAAACAAATATGAAATATAATATTTGAATAATTAGAACAACAAATCTTTTTTCAAACAGAAAAGACGTATTCTAATTTTAATTAAAATAGATCTTATTATGATTAACATATAAAACAATTTTAGATTGCTCCACCAAAACATAAAAATTTGCTTTCAATTTTATTAAATCCTTTCGAAATAATTACAAAAATCAATGGATAAGAAAATTAGCAAGCATTTAATATGAAATCACTTTTTCTCAAAATTAGTCTTAAAATAGAAAATCTACTAAATCATGGTTATTGCAGAGATTATTATTTGAAATAGGAATCTATATTACAAGAATGTAATTCTGGATTTTAAATTTGTTATATGATCAAATATATGTTCAAAATATGTATTTTATATGGAAATTCTAAATGTTTTAAGATTATTTCCATATTCATTTAGGATGTATTTAATCTTTAAGTTTTCAAAGTAAGTGGAATAATTTTGATATTTAATCAACTTAATTGTTATTCTTAGTTAATATATAAATTTTAAAGTTTTGCTCACTAATTAAAATTAGATTCTATGTTTTACAAACTTTGAGAAAAATTTTTCCTTTTTTTTTTCCCATCCAAATAGCTTGTCCTCTAGTGTGTTATCTCATAGATATACAACATAACTCACAAGTTAG